AAAATAAGTAACACATTTGGTACAGAACTATTTTGTTCTGATTATATAAGTCATTGTACGTCATTAACTTGACAACTAGGTCGTATGGACTGCTATAAGTGGACTCGAGCATTTTTGGACATCACAATCAGTTCTGTTTGATGTCAGGACTGTGCAAAGCTTTTCAAGGTTACCATTCGAAACCTCTTTTTGCATACTAAATTACATACATCTGTGACTACTCGTGGAGGAGCATAGGCCACCCACCAGAATTCTTCATCCAACTCTATCCTGCGCAATCCTTTCAAGTTCTTTCCACCTGCTATTGATCCCTTTCATGTCTGCTTCCAAGTCCTGATGCAGTGTATTCTTTGGTCTTCTTTTCTGTTTCCCTTCAGGATTTCAAGTTAGTCCTTGCCTCATGATGCACTTTGATGATTTTCACAATTTATGTCATATCCAAAGTCTTTTCCTGATTTCTTTTTCAGCTGGAGGCTGGTTTGTTCTCTCTAATGATAGACTGTTGCTGATGGTGAAAGGAACCGAAAAATAATACAAAAAGAATTCGAAAATAAAGGGATGAGGTGTTTCTGAATGATGATTGATGTATCAAAGTGCATACAATCTACGCTGACTAGTTACAGTAAATGAGGATTTCAGCGTACACACACGTCATCGAGTACAGATGCTAGACCGAAGATTTTCAGGTGCGGTTATATCCAGAAAAACTAACGGGGACAGCTTTAAAGTTTATTTATTTATGAGGTTTACCGACCACTATATATGCAATTTATTTTGTTCATCTACCATCCATCACAACTAATGCTTCCTGTTAAAAATATCCCTACAATATGGTTAGTATCCACCAGTCTACCTAGTGAAAACGAAGAAAATCATTGACGAAACTATAAATAATGGACAAACCAATGATATTTGAGACAGAAAGTCTTGGATTCCGGCTCGAAATTAATGCATTCATATGGCTAAATAGCGTTTCATCATGATACTTGACGTAAGTTTGCGATGAAAACCCTAAATTTAATTCATGGTCACAATTCGCCACACTGATTCATAACCTCCCTTTGACCTTAGAAATCAAGTGAATCTTCTCAAGGTCAACTCAGTCTCGCTTAAAAGTCGTCCATAAATTATAGTCTCACCTCTAAATTTGTTTTTTGTCAACTAATCTTCAACTAGAGATAAGACTAAAATTTACGGACGACTCTTGACGCCGCTATAATGACCTTGAATTGTTCACCTACTTACCAGTGTTAAACGAGGGATATACATCAGGAATCAGCATTAGGATTCCCTGTTGAATGTTAGAGTTAGGAATTAGATTTATTACTTTCATTAAGAAATGGCATAAGCTAAAATGCCAAAATGCTATTTGGCCAAATGAGCGAATGAATTTCGCGCCCAAATACAATACCTGCAATCTTAAACGTGATTGGCTCGACCACAAATTATACTCTCGCCGTTTACTCAACGACGGTCAGTGGGTTCATATGAATTTCTAACATATTCTAAAGACTTTAATTGTATGATTTACATATATACTGAAGTGTAGTGGATTCCAACAGATCTTGGAATCTAAAGCTTAAAGAAGAACTCAGTATCTTATCAAAACAATAAATTAAAGAGACTTGAATAAAAAAGGAGAGATATTGAATTTACGGACTATCAAACATGTTTTGGGTTTCTTATTATGGCTTGGACATTGACAGTTGATTATTTCTACTAATATTCTCCTGTAGAGTCGGTTGTTATGTTAAGCCCACATAACTTATTCCACCTTCTGGACGGGCCAATTTACCCATTCATTTTGAGTCACGTTCTAACCTTAGTAATTATTCCATTATCAACCGCGACTGTTTTCATATGATCGCATGTGTGTGTACATCTTAACCTACTCACCACACGTCCGTAACTTATCTTTGTGTGACTATAGATATTGACTAACGCTTGATTAAATGGAGTTGGCTCACATACATCCACTGTACATTCTTTTGCTCGCTTCGCTCTCTCTTCTTCGCTGCGATTCTTTGTTCCGATAAACAAGTGTACAGGATATACTTATTGAAACATCCATTCTCGTATATGACTTATTTAATTCTGTTGTTCACTAACGCGAGTTAAGTCGATAATTTTATTCAAAGATAGCCAGGATGTATGTTTCGACAGCAATCATTCATATGATCTAATTGTTGTGAGGTTTAGGGCCACTAAACGCCTATACTAGCTACTTGTTGAGATCACTTTTATAACCTTAAGTTGTCTATCTGGGTGTCCTACTACAAGCGAAAACAAATTTTTATACTTCAGAATATGACGTCAAGACCTGATAAAAAATGTTGAGGTTACCAATCAATAAAAAATTCAATCTTCACAGTACTTTTATCTTTGTAAAACTCTCGTTAAAAACATCTATGTATCTTGCTTACTTACTCACAACTAATGACTACTGAATAACTGAACCTAAAAGACACTGGGAGTTTTAACAGCTGATTGCTTCGAACAAAAAACCATTTACCTGCCCTACGCAAACTGGATACCAAAAACTGATTTGAGCTTCTAAAATACGCCACGGATTTTAGTCAAAAATACACATATTCAAAATGATTTCACATACAACGATTAGCGGACAAATATCACATATAAGAGAAATATAAAAAGTGAACGACGTCCGTGAAAAATAAACAAAAAGAATACCATACTGAATAAATCTTACACTGAAATAATAACATGACACGCCGAAAACTTAAACATTAAAACAAAAGGATAGATGTTAAACTGCGCACTGACTACATTAGATTAGAAATAATAATGGAGAGCAAGCCACACGAAGTCAAGACATATTTTGTCATATTTTAATACATACTTCCTCTTGGAAAGTCGATTTCTTTCATTCCAATTCCCTGTTCTAAAAAACATTTTAAGAATCTTAGGTAGTGGCCAACTTATTAGAAATAAATGAATGAGTCACTGGTTTGACATAACTTTTTTAATCTCATAAATAAAAGTGTTGGTCATTGAAAACCTTTTCAAATGTTACTCATATTTCATTTTTTTTCAGCATGGAGCTATGAGTTCGTCTCACTATCTAATGCCTCATATCAAATATTTATCAACAAGATCCCAGTTGTACCAGATGTTTAATTTGTGGAACATCAGCTAAGACCTAATCAATCATAGAACGACATTTCGAGTGCGACAGTCCGACTGAAAATTATAAACTATAGGACTGTAAATTAACAAGCAATGGCAACATTACTCCTGACACACCACTCCAACCCATCACGATATTGTTGTAAAATTCTACATGAACAACGAATGTAACTTTTTTTCAATGCAATTAAATTTGTCAGCAGCACTGACATTGCAGCAACACAGATAGTTGGAAGTTTAGTGAGACACTATTTCTTCAAAAATACGGTAACTAATACTAAATTCAACCACACCTCGCAAAAATAATTGGGAATTCATATCTAGTATATTCAACCACATCTCAGAGTTCTAGGTTAGTAACCATCCCAATTGTACTGTTAACCACTTAACAAAACATTATTAACGAAACTATATTGATTTGCATGTAGTTCTAAATTTAAACAATTAGGTGACAAATTACAACTGATTTGTGTAATCATTACTCCATCAAATACCGGACATTTCAGCAATTAATCATTTTAGCACTGATTAAGTTGGTTTGCTGATTTTAGTGTCATCTCCAATCTAGGCAAAAACTAAGGGAGTTAGATTAGAACGTCGTTCACCTTAGTTTTTATTTATGTTGATATACAAATCCGCTCAGCTGTTGCCAACGGTATCAAATACTGAAGTGGATTTAGATGCTACAGGGAAACTTTTGAACTCTGTATATCTGATCTTTCTTGACTCCGTAGGACTAATGAGCATGTTTTAGGGCGACAACAAATAATTCGTGTGTTGTACGGCTGGTCACTGGTTCCGATTCCATTGCAACGATTTCCAAACGTCAAATGTTTGTATAATATTAATGACCTAATGTTTATGAGCATTTTCATTATTTCTTCAAACTATTCATGCACATTTTAGCAGTCCTGAAATACTTACTGAGTTAATGCACAAATATATAGTGCTTCCACAAGCCTGGTATTCAAAAGATCATGCTTCATAAATAAGAATGCATTAAACGCTGGGAACAATCAGTATCATGATGACTTCTGAATAAACCAACTAATTCTAAATATACATCAGAACAGTAATTACTCAGCAGGCATCAATAAACTTTTAAATTTTTTACCGGTATATTTGGTGTCGCACAGACACTATCATTTTCTTCATATGTTTGGAAGCAAAAAAAGTAGTCTGCACTGAGGGATTTTCGGGGGAAACACCACCACAAATGTAGTAGCCAACAATGCTAGGAAACAAAAATCACTTGTGACTAGAAAGAAAAAAAGACACATCGAACAATACTTGACACTGAAAGTAAACTGATACAAATTTAACACTTTTATACATCCACATTCATCAAAGCAATAATAATATTTATTTTTCACAATCATGTAAGGCTTTTTACCATCACAGAAGAAAAATTAGAAATCTTACGTGTTTGACGATTATTGACAAAGGAAAATATGAATAACTAAAAGTTTTAGAACAGAAAACATTTCTGCGTAGTTTGCTTGGCATAAAAAATAAGGAGACAGAAGGACCGAACAAAAATTAATATTGCGATTCGTTGTATCATTTAACAAATTATGATCTACTACTGTCAGTATCGAATTGATGCACAAAAATACTAACGTCATACTGATAAGGTTAGGAAAAATATTTAACTCATTTAACACTTTAATTGACCAGGAGTAGTATAAACAAGTACAAAAATCATCTCTAAAAAATGTGTGGATGAACATTCAGAAAAACGAAGGATGTAGTCACGACTCCAGTTTCTAATACCCGCAAATATACATTGGCCATTTAATGGAAATAGTCTGCTTTGTTTAAAGAATTAGTGATAACCAGTTTAAATTTGTTCACTAATAGAATCGCTTCATTTGCCTTTGACGCTTCTTATAATATTTATAGCCCATATATCCACCACCACTAATAAATCCAAATACGAATAACCAAGAAAATAATGTAAGTACGCGGCTGAATCTCGATGGTGGAGTATCATCGACTCGAGCTAAAAAAAAAGAAAATTTACATGAATATCTACAAAAAGCGATTACTGAATAACACTTATTACCGGGAAGTGTTGCTTCGAATGCAGAATCCTTAAATTAATCTTATCATCATTCGACTAATGGTAGTATGTATATTCACTATACTCTGGTGTTTTTGAGTATAAAATTACAGTTTAGCTACAAAGTGCTCAATTAAGCCAGCCACATTATAAAGACTGTGACTGGGAATGTTAATCAGGATTAACCCCTAATCTAAAAATAGTTACTGATTTTAGACTTCAGAGGATCATCAGTGACCAGTCATAATCAGCTAAATTTGTACGTGGACCAACCGTAAAAATGAATGTGTATGCAACCCTGGTAGTTGTTGTTATGTACATAAATGCTAACCAATATGACTGAAATCCAAAACTTAAAGTGGAGGAAGACTGTAATCACACATTTTAACTAAATAATCCAATGAGAAGACGAAAGTCATCAGAATTATGTGATATATTTACATAATACATCATTTATCAACCCATAGTACTTCAAATAATAAAGATTTAAATGCTTTTGATTCTTTATCTACCAAGCACAACAGTTCAGTACTTCATTATCTCTCTAAAGTTTAATTTCGATAAAAAAACGATGAAGGATTATAAATAAGTCATTTGTACACAGATATAATCCAATTATGTATGAGAATTCAGTTAATTAGAAAATATTTCTTATTATAATTGACATCAACTAGAAGACCACTGATGAAATTAGAGATGAAGAGGTAGTTATTCAGATTTAGTTTTAAATACATTACTATAGGGCGTAAGCATTAAAGAGAGGCACTTGAAGTGACTGAGAAATTCTCACTTTTGTCAGCTGGTCAGGAAGCAACAGATAAGGACGAATGATTTATAATGCAATATGTCCTCAATTCAACGAAGAAAGGATAAGGTCGGATCCTAAATCCGGATTTGGGATTAGAGTATAAACAGATTAACTATAAGAACTAATCTTTACCTTAAGTATTTGCTGATATTTCCGTTTCTAAAAGCTTGCACGTTTGATAGACAACATTTTGGTTTGATATATCCACTATAATTGGCGCGCCCTTTGGTTTAATGTTTATCTTAGTGAAACCTTGAAATAACTAACAAACCTGAAGGCCGTGTGCTGGATCTCATAAGAACAAGGGAGGGTAGTAACTAATGCGTCTCAAAATGAGGATAAAATACATATCACTGCTCTGAAAGTGCAACACTTTTCAAATTATTATCAATTTATGATAAAAGCAACATTATTTACACAATTCACTTCAAATCAACTAATTTAAAAACACAAATACTAGCAACAAATTACATTAACTTTTCCATACATTATTCAATAGGTGAATGCCGTATTGTGTATAAAAACATGTTCATTAAGATATTGTCAGTTAAAGACTATTTACTAAAATAAAGTCAGTTAGTCAGTGACAACGTAGAACTTCGTACGTACGTACATCAGTTCGAGTTGCCACACCACATTAGCACAGAGATACAATTGTCGATTCAGATACCGTAATGGTAGAGGTAATATGAGTACAAGCATTAGTCATAGTGATTAGAGTTTGAAGATGTTATTCAAGGAGTATAATCCCGTGAAATAAACTTGGAAAAATAAAAAAAGGACATGAAGAATTCAGAAGATTAGAATTTGGGTGAACGCAAAGAGTGGATGCACCTGTGCCATTGCAAACGATTTTGAGCCATGTCATTCAAGGTCTCTAACCATCGGTTGCTATCGTCTCGCGGATCTCAACCACGAGGTCTACACCTACCAACATGGCTCGGTCCACTTGTCAGTGACTTCATGGATTTGTGCCACGTTTTGGTCTGGCCGTCCCTAGCTTTTTCCCAACCTACTCCTACACCATGAAGCATCGCTCGTCGGGGCAGTTGGTGGTTGGGCATATGTAACACATGTCCCAGCCATCTCAACTGATGAAGTTTCACTACTTCATCAATCGATTTGCCATCCTTACCTATTATCTGTTTCCTAACAACTGCCTTACTCGGTGGTCCCGAGATATACGAGCAATGCTTCGAAGACACTAGTGGTGTAAGAAAAAATGTTTGGCGAAAACTTCACTAAACAGGAAAATTAAAACCATAGAATTGTGTTAGATATTTCAAAGTTGTGCATTAATTTGGAGTCAATCAGATACCCTTGACTTCATTGGTTTGAACTAACATAAAAATGTTTCCTATGTACTGGTGACGAAACTTAATATTAATAATGTAGTCAGAGAAACTAAACGATGCAGCTTAAAGCTGTGTCTGGTCAATCTCAAGGACAACATTTGCTTAGTATTCTTTACATATTACATGATCAATATAAATGACAATAAAGTATCCCACCGTGTATGCATTTTAAAAATCATTCTACATAAATCTGAGCAATTTCAGGTTGTGATTGGAAATCTCTGCAATTTGCACATTACATCGATTGCTGGGGATAAATAATCACTACAAAAGATTTTCTGCATGCTATTTACTACACTGTCAGAATTCCGAAAAGTCTAGAAGTATTAACTTTTAAATTTATGTTGTTGTGAGATGAGATATCATAAGAGACAGAGACAAGAGAAAACAGATAGTAGCTTCTTGAAAACCAACTAAGCAAACCAAGAAATTTTCAAGTTTTCATTTTTTTCCAAATTATGTAGGTTAAAGAATATATTTAAATCCACTTTTAGAAGTAGGCCATTTGATACTTGAGTTTAATTCTCAAGTTGTTTTGCGTTTCGGTGTTCTTAAGGTGAAAAGTATTACTGGATAGTAAAGATTTAGATCAAAATATCAACCCATTACTTGCTATTGTAATCGTCTGAAGTAAATTCTTATAAGATTAGAGTATTTTATTGGAGCTGAGATCAAATACCTATTCCGAGTTCCGAATACAGAAGGAAAATAATAACGAAAGTTAATAACTGATGAAAATTCGGTTTCTGCGTTTATAGCCCTACAATAATAATATAAAAAAGCGTTGGCAAAGAAAATGATATTCAGAAATTGATATTGACACACCTCTTGGTGCAGCCTCCTGATCAGCTGATGGTTCAATTTTAGAAAAGTCAGCGAACGGATCGTCCTGTAAAAGAAATAAATATCAAGGTTAGTAGTAAGGGCAAGTACATGTTCACAGTAAACAACTGAAAAGTTATTTAATAACAGCTCAATTACAGCGGTTTAGTCAAATAAGATCTTGCTACTCCAAATACTTTACAAACAAACATCAACAAATAAATAATTGATACCAGATAGGTTTTGTGGATATTATAGTAATTTCAATGGTCAAGATCATGGGTCAGTTGAAGCTAGACCACCATGAAAAACCTGCCGGCTTAATGGTCTAGTGCTTGCATGCGAAATCAGTAGGTCATGGGTTTGAATCTCGCAGAAGGCGGGGTCGTCGGTGAGCACTGCTGAGGAATTCCACAATAGAACAAAACGTTTGTCCAGTGCTTCCAGGTTTTCCATGGGGACCTAGCTTCAACTGACTCATGATCTCAACCATTGAAATAAATAATTACTGAGAAAATTAGAAGTTATTTTGCCATGGAAGGTAATTTCCAATGAAAGCACTACCGAAATTTCTACTGGTTCTAAGAATAAGAACGTCCTATAATAAAAATGATCAATAGCAAAAGCGCTGAATGCTCCCGTTAGACACACCTGTTAAGTGTGAGCAAGCTCTATCACTTAGCTGCAAATACTGTGATTCTACATATTTATGACGACATTTCTGAGACCATTAACACAACAACTAGAAATTACCTACTCTACAGACAAAGCAAAAAAGTGAGGAATCTTGGCAGATTACAACACTAAAACTACAACACATGCCTATTTATTTGATTTGAAGAAATATATTTCGGCAGAAAAATTCCATACTATGGTATCCTAAATGAGACCAATCAATGACGAATACAACTTACAAATAAAACCAATTCCCATAAAATCACTTTATCTAATCTATTTCTATGAACTAAAAATCCCCATGATGTAAATTAAAACGACAAATCTGAGCGAAAAATGTTTTATACAGGATTTACTCTGTATACAGTGATGTATTTTCACATGAAAACAATTAAACCAGTTAAGGCAATTTATAGGTCAATTATATTAATGGAACAGATTACGTGGCCAATAATAATCAGTAAAATGTACAACTTTGTAGTAAAATGACATGTGTACTAATCTTGACGAGAATAATAACAACGTAAATGAATGATTCAGATAACAAGTAGGTCAGAACAAATAAAAATCAATGGAAAGTTCGATGCGCAATATCACATATTGATTGGAGTTAGATAAATAAACCATTGGATGCTGGCTCAATGGTTCAAATTTTGAAAACTCGCTGCCAGATTTAATTTTTTTAGGTTTCATTCCTATGCGATCGTAGATGCACTACCATGAGAAGTTCATACTAAGTCAGAATAGCTGTCCAGTGGTTTCTGGTTCTCAGTGATTGCCTAACCAAGGCTAGTTCCGGATATGTTGCCTCACCACATGAGCACTACAAGACTAAATTGACAAGACGAATCGCAGAGTAGTAGAAGTAGTCAGATTACCAATTTCAATAGAAAAGGCCATCCATAGATGACATGATCCCCAAAAATAGACGAATCAGTGGACTTAAAAAAGTATAAAACAATTTCTAAACTCAGGATCCAAGAGAATTCAAAGGGTAAATGCATCTGCGACAATGCGACCGGTTTTTAGCCATATAACCCATTGTCCCCGACCATTGATTACGATAACTACATGAACCCCAGTCAGGTAAACTAAACCTACCAACACGGTTCGACTGAACTCTCAGTGACTTCATGGACTGATACATACGTTTTGTTTCGGCCGCCCCTCGCTTTTTCCAAACCTAATCCCACATCAGCCAACATCGCACATCGAGGTATATGGTAGTTGAGAATATTTAACACGTGTACTAAATATTTCAACTGATGAAGATTCGCTACCTCACTAAGCGATTCGTCAATATTACAGTATGCCTTGAGTCAAACCTCAGCGCTACCCACTCAGTGGTCTCAAAATATGCGTAGAATGATTCGAAAATGTCTAATCGGGTACCAGTAATCTTTAAATGTCCTCTATTTTCAACAGTTAGATTTCACAACCATAAAATAGAACACGGCGAACCACTACAACGTGATTTCGTCCCTTTTTGTGAAACGGACATCTCGCCTACACCACAAGTAATCCAGGTTGGCAAAAGTCAGACGAGCTCTTCGAATCGTGAAGAAATTTTATCAGACACGAACCCAATAAGACCGATGAGACCTTTAAGATAAACGAAGAGGGTAACTCTCAACTGCTTCACCTCTTATCACCGGTAATGGAGTCGACTCAGACTAGTCCTAAAGCAACATTTAACACATAATAGTCATTGAAAATTATCAATAAATAAAAAAACAACCAGAACAAGTATATATATATATATATTCAGCGAAGAAAATTTTCTTTTCGACGAAATCATTTACTTAAGCTGTACATTCGTATATATAGTTAGATATGGAAAATGTATGTCTATAGAAGGATAGAATGGATTGTATCACACAAAAAATGGATTCGACAATAAATAACAAATGAGGTTAACGTAAGGAGAACAAAATTTAAGGGTCAGATAATAGTCCAATTGACAGATATGAAGAAAAACGTCAAAACAACAAAGGTCATAATAATAGAGTGAATGATAATCAAGAAAACTTGTAAAAGGTAATAATAATAAATGATTAGAGTTTAAAGTGCAAAATAGTAATAATAAAAGTGCATTGAAAAAAAAAAAACACCTAGAAACATACCCATAAAGGGAATTAGGGCCAGGGAAGGATAAGAGGTTGGACAAATCGTTTCTGCACGCAAAGTTCAGGCTTTAGTTTGTGGATTGCCAATGCCTCTGCGGTGCATAAAATACTGATTCGAACCCCCTTCGATCCAGTTCCTTTGACTCTGTAAACTATTTTAAACGAAGAGTCTTTTGGAGCGATATGTCCACAGTTGATTAAGTGCTCCTGTATGGAACTTGTGATTGTTTTTCGCTCCCCTTTCAAAAAGGGGAGCGAAAAACAATCAAAAGACTCTTCGTTTAAAATAGTTTACAGAGTCAAAGGAACTGGATCGAAGGGGGTTCGAATCAATATTTTATGCACCGCAGAGGCATTGGCAATCCACAAACTAAAGCCTGAACTTTGCGTGCAGAAACGATTTGTCCAACCTCTTATCCTTCCCTGGCCCTAATTCCCTTTATGGGTATGTTTCTAGGTGTTTTTTTTTTCAATGCACTTTTATTATTACTATTTTGCACTTTAAACTCTAATCATTTATTATTATTACCTTTTACAAGTTTTCTTGATTATCATTCACTCTATTATTATGACCTTTGTTGTTTTGACGTTTTTCTTCATATCTGTCAATTGGACTATTATCTGACCCTTAAATTTTGTTCTCCTTACGTTAACCTCATTTGTTATTTATTGTCGAATCCATTTTTTGTGTGATACAATCCATTCTATCCTTCTATAGACATACATTTTCCATATCTAACTATATATACGAATGTACAGCTTAAGTAAATGATTTCGTCGAAAAGAAAATTTTCTTCGCTGAATTCTCTTTTTCTTATTCAATGACACTATGGGTTATTTTAATTATATATATATATATATATATATATATATATATATATAGTGAAGTAGAGATAGGTAAAGGATGAATAACAAAAACCAAACGGTATAAAAAAATTGGTAACATCGTCTATTAAGTTTTATGGAGCTAAGAAAGAGGCAAGTGTTACGAATCTCTCCTGAACGCAGACTAGAGCTATGAGCTCAGAATCCTATGACTTTTCATGTGTAAGTGACAAGATCAAACTCTGTTGTGAAACTTCGAAAATACAGAATATACCACTTGGAATTATTTATTTTTATCTACCATATGGCTACTATTAACCAAGTATGATGAAATGGAGCTACACAATTTCCGTTTCACCCCTTATCAACCGCACAAAAAAACGTCCATTCATTCCTTGATTGAGTTGCGTGTTGTCAAGTGTTCTTCACAGGAGCAGCTGATATATTCGTATCGTGGACTTGTGAGAACGAGTGTGACAATAATTATAATAACTACTTTGACCTACTTCTTATATTGAATCATCTATTTACGACGTTATTATTCTTACCACGATAAGCACACGTCATCTTACTACAGATTTTTAACACACGTTCTTTTAGATACGGAGAACTAATAAGCAGAAAGACAGAGTAAATTTCCAGTTTATTGACCATTATTCCATTTGATAAAAGGAAGTATATAAAATGAAAACAAAATTCAACTACTGTATTTTGTACCATATACAAGAGGTTAATTATTACGAAAAGTGTAATTCATAAATTTACGTGAAACAATATAAGATCATACAAGACTACACAAATTGAGACATAATAACACAAAACCTGCTGTTAAGCACAGTACGATATGATGCATTACTTATTAAAAAGAACCACTCACACAAAATAAATTTTGTCAAGTACAAAAACAATAAAGAGTGTGCGATGGAGAAAGATAATTTGAAGACAGAATTTCTCATGCGTAGGCTAATATTATTTTAAAGAAATATAGTTTTGCAATTGAAATTTACGGAAAGGTGTTTGTGTTTATTTTAGTCTCGGAATGAGTTTTTGATACTTTCTACTCACAAATTATAATTTTAAGGCAATTAAGTGATCATCTTACTTCACTGTATAATACACATTGATTTTAACTTGAAAAAGGCAATAATTATATCTGTCATTGAATAAGAAAAAGAGAATTCAGCGAAGAAAATTTTCTTTTCGACGAAATCATTTACTTAAGCTGTACATTCGTATATATAGTTATATGGAAAATGTATGTCTATAGAAGGATAGAAAGGATTGTATCACAAAAATGGATTCGACAATAAATAACAAATGAGGTTAACGTACTAATCAAGGGGTAAGGAAGAACAAAATTTAAGGGTCAGATAATAGTCCAATTGTTCTTCCTTACCCCTTGATTAGTACGTTAACCTCATTTGTTATTTATTGTCGAATCCATTTTTGTGATACAATCCTTTCTATCCTTCTATAGACATACATTTTCCATATAACTATATATACGAATGTACAGCTTAAGTAAATGATTTCGTCGAAAAGAAAATTTTCTTCGCTGAATTCTCTTTTTCTTATTCAATGACACTATGGGTTATTTTAATTATATCTGTGATTTTGTATATTCCATTTGAAGAATTTACTTTATATCATTATTTGTAATCATTACTTGAAAAATGATGCAATAAACGTTATGTGATTGAGTACCAATCAGATTTAAATTAGTCACATTAGAAATAGAAAATTTTATCAGAAACATTTCAAAACCAGTCAGAGATAACCAATGTATTCAAGGGCATACGTACTTTAGCCTAGGTCCCTATTTGTCATCACTACATAGGAGAAATTAACAAAGTGAGTGGCGAAAGAGTCCTGATAACAGTAGCATCAATGAGAAAGACTAAATTCTGATGGATATGGTTCAAAAGAAAACAAGTAGCAAAGTATATACAAAGGAACACTGAAACTCTAGGTCAAACGGAAAATGAAGAGTGAAGAAACTTATGGCACTGAGACCGATTGTGAGTCATGTTATCCAAAATCTTCATCCAGTGATCGGATTCAATAAACAAACACAAAGCAGATAGTATTTGACAACATTTAACATAGCTTAGTTCAACAATCAATGGGTTTATGGACTGGCGCGACGTCTTGATTTAGCCACTTAGTTTTTTTGCAACCCACTCCTACGCTGTCCAGCATTATGCATCGAGGTAGGCGATTGTTGGACATACGTCACATGTTCTAGCCATCTAATTCGATGAAGATTCACACCCTAATCAACTGGTTTGCCATGCTTTCCTAGTACTCAACATTTAACCCAGTCATTCCTCATTCCGTTGTTTCCCTATACATGATGAGTGTTTCATGTAGGAACTATATGAAATCAAATGGGGAATGTTTCCTATACGAAAACAAGAGCGTCGTGAGGCCAGAAAAAACGTTAAATGCATTGATTCAAAGTGTTTTCATTATCGAACCTGTAAAAATATTCGATAAGAAATTTTGATTTCAAGCTGGTTGTAACTCATCCGTTATACGTGACCTTCACGATTTCATGAATATATGGATTGAGTACGATTTTATAACAAAGAAATTTCAAAAAATGGAATTTTAGGATTTCACTTGTTGAACCGAAACAAATGTACATGAGGTACTCATCCGCTTGGTTAATGACAATTAAGCAGTTGAGTGGATAGTATAGTATTTAGATTTTACCAGAGAATTCATCCGAAAACCTGGATATCAAAAAAAACTATTATTGAAAATGAACAGAAAATCATATAAGATATGTGGTACTTTGTTTCACTAATATATATATATATATATATAGGATATGGACTAAATATTCGTACACAGTAAACTCACTTTTCGACCAACATCCAGTTCATAAGTATGAATAGAGTATATGTCGTGATTATCTGGGTAGGCAAAAATAGGACGAACGCAGACTATTAGATACACAGTAATCATGGTTATCAGAAATGAAGAAATGCAGATCGTTACAGATAAACAACGCCATACTTACGTGACACTGTCAATGTAACGAAAAGCAAAAGTCATAAAAGATGAATACACAAAACACGGCGGAATGAATATAATGTTAACTTTGAAAAGAAAACTGACTCCATCAACTAGTCGGACTTGTTCTGTGTAACTTAGTAATTTGTAACTCTACTATAGATAATTACACAGACTAACAGTAACAGTAAATAAATTTCACTAAATCCACTTATGTGGGAGAAGGTTAACTTGATAGCAAACTAATGTTCCAAAATCAAAACTACCAAATGAGTTGAAAATGATTACAGAAATTAATTTATTTAGAAGCATATGTGAACACATTTTGATATAGTGTAGCAAAGATCTAAATAAAGTCAAGAGAATGAACCATGTGTACACACCATATGTAAAGTATCATGGAACAATGATAGTAGTAAAATACTAGAAATAAGTAGTTCTGTAATAAACAAACGCAAATGAGAATAAAATAAGTAAATGCCAGTTAATTAAGCATTAAATTATTGAGCTAAGAGAGAAACAAACATTTCCTTACGTTACTACCTCATTACGCAAGTTCCTTTTCTAACCCTCTAACATAACTCGATAACCTTATATTTAAATAACCGAGCTTTATTGATTTTATTTTTGTACATAATCACATATAAGGCAGTCTGCTTGAATATCTGGGCTACCTGTCCCTGCCATCTGGATATTTCAACAATTTATATATTTTCTTGTTTGTTTTAACACATCATTATGCTTATTAGTCTCATAATCTATTCAGGTGCGCTTGTGAAAAGTTTACGACATTTCACTGTACAAGTCACAAAAGAGACATCGTGGTTGCTAGCAATATGCAGTGAAAAGAATATACAGTATTCAGATGTAGATTCCTGTACTACTAACACCTAACTGGCGACCACTCAATACTTATCGCAAGGATCGGCCAAGAAATAAGGAAAACTAGTTGAAACACGTTGTACTGAGAATTGTGTATTGTACCAAAAATATAATATTGAATAAAACTAATAATAATAATAATAATAATAATAATAGTAATGTGTACAAAACCAACCAATGATGATTAAAGTACATGGTTTCCAAATGTCGTAGTTTGTCCAGGTGTATATCAGCAATAACACTCATACAAAAATTGTTTCAAAGACAAGCACAAAAACTTGTACTCATTAAACGAGTAGTATTATTACTACTTAACCTGGGATAACATATGTTAACTGAACTGAACAATAGCACTGAAAACATAACCTCAATGAAAGGAGGACCATTAAGAACTTAATTTTATGACACCTTATCCCACATCCCATGTTCACCTCAATCTTGTAAAACATGAAAACCTTTATAACGATTAAGCATGGATAGAAAAAATCTGGTATATGCGACCGAATTATAACCAAATAGGCTGTTTCGTATTAATTGTATTAATATTTGTTTTCAAATTGAAGATGATGATGTGGTGGTTCCTTAGTCTAATCATGAATCAAATCACTTTTTACTTTATATTTTCACTTATTTCTATGCCTATTTGTTTGTTAAACTTTCTTTTTAACTAGATTACTATATACATAACATTGAAATATTTGTTTTCGCATTTTATCCTGAAATCATCATTCTATCATAACTTATTGGACTTAATTAATTGTAGAGTATTCAAAGCTGAATTTTTAAGCACTTCACATAGTTATTTGATAAGACAGTACTAATCATAATATTTGTAAATAATGCTCATATTCTACATATTTGATAGTAATGTCATATCAAATGTGTAAAAAAACTGGTACTGAAGTTATGTGTACTTTAGTCAGACAAGAAAATGGAACTAGTACTGATAAATTATTATTGAAAACAGTTCACAATGTGAATGTTGTCAGTTCATAAATTATTCAGCGAAGTAAACTGAAAACCAACCGATCAAACAGTTCAGCAAAAATGGAGAAGAATGGTTTACAAAAGTTGATTTGTGTAATCAGCTGAGCAACCTTAAAAGAATAGCGTAGGAACCCATTAAGTCCCTCGACTGTCGAAAATTTCTCAGAATTTTTAGATAAATGAAAAACTACTGAGATATAGAAGATTGGTTCAACTCCTGAACCAATTTTTCCTGTATTTACATCTCAGTGAATGTATATAATCTATTTAGAAAGAAATTCACACAAGATTTTTAAAAAGTCAAGGTATATTTTTAGCCCTAGTAATTGAAACGATGTTATATTACCTGAAAGGTCACCAGTAGCGGCTGAGATTCCAATAAAATAGCCAGTAGGTAAACGTACTCCGTCAACTGTGAAACAGTCTACAGGATCTGTAGCACCTTGATATTTCAAAGAAACCTGAAGATTGAGAAATCCCATACTTAGTAAACAAACTTGTCATATACCAAACATCAGAAAAAAACATAGTTCAAAATATACAACAATCTCAAGTTTTTGGCACAAAAAAGTAATACATCAGTCATATTGTCACCACCAACAATCTGAATGTGTCATAACTGATTAATTATACACTTTATTAAGACGACTAAGTTAAGGAATTACTTTATTTCTTATCTAATATTTTTCCACAAATTTTCTCTAAGTAGAGACGTCAGTTGCATGGACATACGTCCCAAATAAGTTATAGATTATGTTTGTTTAGAAAGCAGAAGTTATTGTGAATAGTTAGCGTCAAAAATAACCCTTAGTGGATAAACAGTAAGTTCATGAGACGCAAATCCAAGGTTTTTTTAGTTTATGGTAAAACCTATGATCAGTAAATGATAAAAATGATATTAAACTATGTTTTATCAGTGAATGTAATATGGTAGGGTTGTGGTACCTAAGCTAAAAATCTACAGCAACTGATCTATTAAGTCCTACGGACGGAGGTTAAATTAAGATAACAGGACATTTAAAGTGCGTGATAGGAAGTGCTCTATAATAAAAGATTGTAAATAAAATCGAAAAGTAACTATTTTTGATTGAAGTTTTCTAAAGAACTGGTTGCTATTGAGTTTAATTGACACAAGTATAGATCATGGGCTAAGTTTGCAACAATGTATTTAGTTATCATGACACATTTTGAGAGTATGTTATCCGAGTCTACAATAAGTGTCAAAACATAGAAATAAGCCAATCCTACTGTACTTACACACTTATGCAGAAAAACATACAGTTAAAATGCTAACCTTCAACTGGTTATTAGCGTAACGAATTGTGGCCATTGAGTAGTCATTATTACGAAAATTAGATGAACAACCAGCTAATTCAGTTAAAGTTCCATCCTTATCATGGTCATAGTGTTTAGATCCATCGTTAATCATTGCACTGACATAAGGATGCTCATGACTATGCTCACCATTTTGATTAGCGTAAGTATCAAAGAAAACGGCCAACCCACGGAACTTATCTCGACTGCCGAATGCTGGCCCTATGAATAAACAAGTTTAATTAGCGAAAGAACTTTAAAATAACATACCACTTGAAGGAGGATGTTGAGTATACCAGAAAGCAAATCCATCACCGACCAGAGTTTTGGGACTATGAACATGGAACAAAATAACCACCTCCCAATCACGAGCAAATAAAGGTTTTATATTGAAAATACCTCCTTGATTACTTTTTACATCGGAAGTTAGGCGTACGAACTGAGGTTCAATAATCGTTGATCCATAAGGTACCCAGTGAGCTATCAAAAAATTATATATATAACGTCTAAGTGATATATAAGTAGCAATAATGATTGAATGTGAGTCACACCATTATTAGCCTTACTGCTTCAAATTCAAAACCGAAGAAAGGAAAACGTGATTTCTATTGAGATGATATGAAAACTACCTAAACCCTCAAGAATAGAAACCGATGAAATCCTACAAAACCATGAATTTATTCTGAATGAGGGATACTAAAACACTGAGACAATCACGGATGTATTCAATTATAGTATTACGGTAATATCGTTCAAAACAGGATACTGACTCAGCTAAAACACAAGACTTTATGGGAGGTTAGTAAAATAACTCATTTACTTCGCTAACGACATCTGAAATTATAGCCTTAGTAATAAGTTGGCAACAAATCTCCAACACAAAGGCACAAATTAAGACTAACTTGGGGGAGGATCTCACTGAAATCATGAACCGACTCAGTTAGACCACCACTGAAAACTTGGAAACACCGGACGCTTGTGGTCGTCCTAGTATGAGGGAAAATGTTTAAAAGTTAGAAAAATAAGGCTACTAAAATCCATTACAGTAAACTGTGATATGTAACATAAACTTTTAAACTAACGCGCGTGATGTTGTCAAAAAATTTGAGAAAACTCAGCTGGCGGAATATTTGTAACGGAAGTCACATTTTACCACTCCAATTGTTATCAACTCTGCTTTCTCATATTTTGGAAGCGAGTACGGATGTTTGGGGAAATGGCTAACGATATGGGTGTGAAAAAGGCCCTTTATCTTCTAAAATCAAATTCCCTGAGATGTAGCCTAGCAGTTTAATTTGGTTCTTAAATACTGAGCCAAAGGTTTTAGACCTTCCTTACTTTTATGTTTTCTGTACTTGTTTCCTTTTTTAAAGTACAGAACTTAAGAAGTGAAATAAGTCACCAAGTTGCATCGGTTTGACACTTTCTACAATTTCATGTCATTTCGATGTCAATAAATACGGTTGAACAGTTTGCTATATTCCAGTGGTTTTTGTATTTAAAAAGCTCTCTAAGCCACTTCAGGCTTTACTACCCTAGTTATACAATGATAGAAACGCACAACAATATAGCACGTACAAAAGGCACTATACATCTGACTACCAATGGAGAAATTAAAGACATGAAACTTTTAGTGAATAAACAGAGAAACAATCATGCACTACTTGAGTGTTTGAAATTTCAATGCGGAAGTGTGAACTAATTTGTACCACAATTATCGGTTTTTAGTTCCATCATCTGAAGTTTATAGCTACTTTTAATATTTATAAAGTTTTGGGAAACCTAATTTTGATAAATCGTTTACATCTGATTGATAAATAGTTACGGATTCTGTGTAAATATTTGGTTTATTCAGACGAGATAAACTCAGTAACATCGACAACTAGCCTTGCTGTTGTCTATTTGGCTTTACAAAATTCCATTTTCGCTGTTAGGACAGTGTGTAACGGCAGAGGTGGATCAAAGAAAAAAAATGAAGTGGCCTACATACCTGCATTTTGTTCAATATTTTTAGTTTTCTTATAAAGAACAGTGTAAACCAAGTTAATCGGCAAGACTATGACTTATAGACGACTTTTCAACGATAGTAGAGTGGCCCCGATTACACCCTAACCACTGAGTAGGGTCAAAATATAATTACAAATCATTGAGGAATGAGGAGTTGGAAATTAGGATTGATAGGTAGGGTCAAGATTTCTACCACGAGCTGACATAACCAATAATCCAAAAATGCTATTTAAACAAATAGGTAAACAAATTTCAAACACGAACCCAGTAGATGCACTTAAATTATAGTAAAATATTAGCAGCTAATGACTGAGTCAATTTGCAACAGTACATAAACACCTCTATCCCTTGTGTTTGTGTACGTAAAATATTGTTTTTTTTTATCCTGTTTGCTCTTTTGTAATCGTATTTTTAATGCTTGGTCATTTTGTCAGTTTATTTTTTTAAAACATCAAGGAATGGAACGTAATAATGAACTTAAATACAGGATTTAAATGACCGGTTTTTAGTGCATCTTTTGTCACGGCCTCCATTTATGCCCCATTGTTGCTGTATTAAATTGTCGTGAGCGTTTACGACTGAAACGCAAAACGATGGTGGCCAGTAAGCAGCGTGTTTCGACTTAGTAACCAGTAACACTGCAATATTAACTGCGTTTCAGGTCGAAAAGTAAGCTTAGGCAACGTAAAAGTTGATTCCTGGAAATATATTACTTATAAAACCGCGTCGACATGGTTACGGAGTAGGATTATATTTGAGGTAATGAAAAGACTAAGTCGAACAACACTGGAACTGTATCAGAACAATAAAAATAAGCAAAAGAAACCAATCGGTCTATACAATCTTATGAAAAAGACACGTATTCAGTACTGCATATCGAAATTCTTAATAACCCATATAGGGACGAGACAAAACTTTGAATAAATAAAAAACTTACGGCTTGAATATGGAGGAACGAGTGAGTTATCTCTGATGTGGTAAGACGAATGTACTACATTGGAAAACGACAGGCAAAGAAGAATCACTAGCATTGCACGGACGTGCCGGAAAATTACAATTTTGCGCTGTGTGATATTATTGATTGCAACAAACGAATCCAACTTTTTATTACATACAAATAAAAGGCTATGACCCTTTATTTGCAGAAAAAATCGGAAGGTACACGTTAATTTAGTATGGTTGATTTTATGTACACCATTTTCTTGAGAACTGGTCAATCTACAAAGAAATGTATTTGTTAGTATGCTTTAGGAATCAAATAGTAGGTGAAAGTTTTTGGCTTCATGAGTATCTCCCTTTGCATTTAGTTTGAAGCCCAAAATTGTGTCTTCCGAGCCCCTTAAAACTGCCTGGAATCAGATGAAAGGATTTTTCATGTTCACATCAGTTTCACAAAATCCTATGCTTCACTCAGATCTGTGGTAGGTTAATTCAAAGACATTTAGGTTTTCTTTACTGTCAACGCTGCCGCAGACCTTACAAATAAAACTCACTCCCCGTTTCAGTAAGATCATGAGGACGTTTAGATGCTGGAGATCAGAAGTTTAAACTGAATGAGCTTGCTACTGGCAAACATTCATCAAATGGCTAGATATATTTAACAGTATCTGATTGCCTGCTTTCATTCTATAGGGTTTTAAGATTTTGAAAGCAACTACTTCGCTCAATTCAGTGACTTCCAATACATTCTTTTCTGACTGGAAAATTCGGGAGAAAAGTTGCGAATACGTGTTTGATAGTCATGTTTCCAGAATACTTGTGGTATGCAAAATGTACAGGAATAAAGCACCGTACGTTAGCAGAAATTAGTATGAAGCAGTTTGACACCACTAATGACGAAAAGTCTCTGGAAGATAAGACCCATATTCAGTTAAGACAAAGGACTCAATAATTCTCCTGAAAGTCATAAACACGTCTATACGTAGTTCTGTAGTGACCTGTTTTTATCACGAGAACACGATTGGTTTATTGAAAACAATTATTATTATAACCAATTGTACCGGTGAGTGTTTAGTGTACCCTTTGTTTAACTGTGCTAAAAAGCATCCATTATTCTCACACTTTGATTGTGACCTCGCGCGAATTCGGTTACGCTCTGTAACCAAGCTTGTATCCTGGCACGATCTCGGTATTCTTGCGATACCACGAGATCGCCAGCAAATATATCTCGACTTGGTCCATTAACTGCCTTCTCATATTTGGCTTCCCGGGGATTTTATGGATTTAATTGGCACGTGTTTCTCTGTAGCGGTGTTCACAGTCAACTGCGACTCGGCACCACACTACAGTTCATTCAGTATGAGATTTTGTCTCATCATGTGTTTTAAGTCAGGTGTTTAAAGGCTTTTCTGTTCACCATGAAGGACTTGTAAATGACAGTGATTTTTCAACTTTGGACGGGTTCTCTTCTTCATATCATCTGCTTGTATATGATAGGTGGACACTTGAAATCATGTCGCTCATAAAATTTTAGTTAGAATACAGAAAATCCGCGAACCCATCTGAGATCCAGAGTTTGTTCCAACATTTTATGGAAAGCCAATCGTCACAAATTACCGATTATCAAAATCACATCCGATAATTTCACGGCTAAAGTCTATGCAAGGTCCCACCTTAAAAAGTGATGGTTAACTATAAATGTTAGGAAATGACAGAAACAATTTGTCCCTGGTGAAAGCTTTCCCAGTTGAAAATTTTTGGTTACCCAAGCAACACAAAAAGGGGAAATAAAGGGGTAAATAATGCGGATTTCCCCCTTTTTCGCCGTTTTGTCGATAAATTACCGACTTTTCGCCCAAATTTCCGCTAAACTGTCTACTTTTCGCCTAAATATCCGCCAAATTACGGACTTTTCGCCCAAATTTCCCCTGAATTGTCTACTTTTCGCCTAAATACACACAGAACTACCAATTTTCGATCCATTGACATAATCCGAAAGGTCCCCTATTTTCGCCTTCATTTTCAACAACTTACCGAAATAAAACTGTAATGCACTGGAAAACCGATGTATTTTAAAAACATTTTACGTAAGAGGAAAATAGTATTATTGTACAACATTAGAGCAGAAGCTTGAGCATCAATCGTTTTGTATATCCATTGTAATTGCCAAATCAGTGTTATTTGAAAAGATCTACAAAAGATGAAACAGGTGATGTATTATTCATAAGCCATTTGCATCTAATCTAAAGTTAACTGGCACAAACACACATTCTCAACACTTCTATAGTTTCCCAAGTATGTATTAAAGTAAGCTCTTTGACAAAATAATGTTTATTAAAATGTAGGTAGAACATAAAAAAATTGCACGGGTTGTTTCCTTCAGCCACATTCGTTCGCCTATTGAGAATTGAAGTTGTTGTCCTGTGAATTATTAAGTTTAAAAAACAGAAAAAGTCACAACAATCTATGAATGACATGTCTTGGCACAGCCAAATACTATAACCTAAACTTACGGTTATGTCCGTCAATACTGATGACTGTAACTATAGAGCCGTAAGGAAAGATATCACTTATAATTATTACATACCTGCCCTTTTCTCCTTCTTTTACGCTTTATCACTTTGTCTCTGACATCGTGAAAATAACCTTGTGTGGCTATGTCGTACAGCTTCGCAAGGTCTTTTTCGTTGACAGAGGATGACATAAAGCGATTTGTTAACGCACCTAAAGTTTAAATACTAAAAATTAGTTACTTCATATGCAGCCGTAAAACCGGCACCATGGACACGCTTCGATGCCGATGTAGACGGGGATGTCTCTGCAGGATCCAAACCACGTTTGGACTGCTGGACAGCTGCCTGGATAAGTTGGATACGCGCCCTCGCCCGTTTGAAACCAAAACAAGGTAATTGGGTAAGATAGCGGTTCTAAACAAATATAACCACACAGCTATCCAACCAATAATTGTTTAATTGATCAAATCTAAACAATCACCACAAATAAATGTTATTCTATCCTGACTGGATAGATCACGTACAGATTCGTTCAAAAGGTAATAATTGGTCGCTCTATAACACAGAGTGTTTTCAATTCTGGAAGAGTGCTTCAATTCACAACCAAAATGCACAATTCCAGTCAACACAGGTCAAGCAATCAAAAGCAGGAACCAACCAAAATGGCTGCCGCTCAGACTTAGTATAAAGTAAAACAACATAAGTGCAGTTCGGGAAGAAACATGTGGAATCGGTGAAGGTGTGGTAAAAACGAAAACTATAATAAAATACAAATATTAGCAATTCAAATGTAGTACAAAAGTTAACAATGTACAACTAAGAAGATCAATAGGAACAAAGTGCAAGTATATACATGGAGGGATTTTCACAAACACACAAGGCATTCAAAATGGATCTTACACCGGCCCCCAAAATCCCTCCATACCACACAAGCTACCTTGACGCCTACGGTCATGGTTCATTATATAACATGTCACACCATAGGAACGAGTAGGACTTACAACAGTACGCCTACTCGACCTAACTACATTAATAACACGAGGAACTAATTCGAGCCTTCAAGGAGGCATAATCTACGTATATCTCTCCTGACTAATCCACCGTTCGTACGAACAACCACTGTTCTAACTCTTCCGTCGTCATCTATTTCACAATCTTCAACTACGCCTAAGGGCCATTTTCCACGAGTCGATATGTCCGAAGCTACGATCACTACATCCCCTTTCTGAAAATTGCGGTGTTCAACTAACCACTTTTGATGTTTTTGTAGGGACGGTAAATACTCTCTTAACCACCTTTTCCAAAACACATTAGAAAGATGATTAATCTGTTTCCAACGTTTGTCATATTTATCTCTGATGCTACCTTCTTCGACTATTCCGTCACATTCTCTCAATAAAAACAAACTATTTGGCGACAAGGCTAGTTTGTCGTTAGCATCTTGAACGACCGGAGTTAAGGGTCGATCGTTCAATATCCTTTCAATCTCGATCAAATAAGTGTGTAAAGTCTCATCGGTTAGAGTCTGCTCTCTAGTTATCAACAATAACAATCGGCGTATGGACCTAATCATCCTTTCCCAAACTCCACCCCTGTGGCTGGATGAGGGCGGGTTAAAATGCCCCTGAATTTGTCTAGCTGACAGTTCTTTGTCTATTTTCTGTTGATTCGACTGTTGCACAAATCTCCTTAATTCAGAAACCGTACCCACGAAATTTGACCCATTGTCACTGTAAATTTCTGCAGGTTTCCCTCTTCTTCCAATAAAACGTAACAAGGCCATTATAAACGAATCAGTATTCAAACTATGTGCCATTTCAATATGTACTGCTCGGGTTTGCAAGCAAGTAAACACACATCCATATCTTTTTTCTAATGACCTTCCTCTTTTGACAAAAAGAGGTCCAAAGTAGTCTACTCCCACGGCTGAGAAGCTATACCATCCTTGTTGCACTCTACAAGCTGGAAGTGGTGCCATCAATTGTTGCCCTGTAACCATCGTATACCGCCGGCATGTCACACACTTTCCTATCACTCTCTTAACCGTGCTGGTTCCTTTTATTATCCAATACCTTTTTCGAATCGTGGCCAGTACTTGTGACGTTCCTGTGTGCCCTTGTTCCTTATGATAATGTCTAATTATCATTTCTGTCACTAAGTGTCGACTGGGCAATATTATTGGATGTTTAAAGGCATTTGAGAAATCTGAGTAGCTTAGTCGGCCTCCAACACAGAGTAACCCATCAAGCATTATTGGTGATAAGCCCTTCAGATCATTGTGACTAACTACTTTACCCTTGTTTTTAGATCCACTAAGTATTTCTCCATACACTTCTTTCTGAACCATCAACAAAATTTTACGCTTGGCGATGTCAAGTTCTTTGACCTTTAAACATCCTAGATGAACGGATCCTTCATGACTCGGTGAACGAAGCACCATCAGAAATTCTATGAACCTTCTAAGCCATGCTACGGCCCTGACTAATTTCAACCACTCGGAGTAATAAGAGAGAATAGGTGACATGTTGTGCTTTATACAACTCAAGTTAACCACAGCAGTTTTTCTAAACTCAATATCG